TACATACATATAAACACATACATACGTGTGTCACATAGATTTTCATATTTGCATTTTGCACATTTTATTTTTATGTCGCTGGCTTTATCTGCGCTCAATCCTAATCGCTATGTATACACACATATTACACATACATATGTACMTATACATATATACGTGTTATTATCACCGACATTACTCCTAATTTGTTTCGTAAACAAACAAACAACGGCAGTTTCATTCAAGCTTAATGGCGTGYACATAAAGCTCCTAAGAAGCTAATGGGATAAAATAGAATTGAAAATCTATGCGAGACTTTTGCAAAACGGAGAAAAGCAAAAGTATACTTAAATGCTGCGCTGATCATTGAATGTTGGTCTTGCCAGCACAGCRTGATTTACGAGTATTTTTTCTTGAGCTCAAGGCATTTTCTGTGAGAGGAAATAGAATAAATGAAAAGGTCACTTGTCACAACTAGACAAAAAAGTGTTACATTCTTTTTAACTTAATAATTCACTGTGAAATAACATAAACTATTAATCAGTAGTACAATGCGATGGCAATTCGTTAAAGGAGAAAATAAAACTAATTAGTTGGTTTTGCTAAGCTTTAACACCACTCGGCCGTTTTAAAACTAAATATCGCCAAAATCTTTTACAAAACCTTGTCAAAAAATATAGTTGGTGTAGTCAGACTTCTTGGAGACGCACTATTTCTGGAAATAAATTTTCCTATCTTTGAACGATTCCCTGATATCAAGAGCAATTTTTCATCAGTCTGTTTGTTTTTTTTTTTTCTTATCTCTGATTTCATTATAGATTATTATTTCTCAGTAAATCTATAATATTACTGATTCATCAAACCACACTCACCTACTGCTATTTATGTGATTCATAACTGATCTTCACCAAGTCACACGTTCGGAGGACAASCCTTCATGGAGTTCAGTCGCACTTGAACTTTAACGACTTGTAGYTTTATTTGCTTCCGTTTCACTTACAAAAGTATAAAGCCCTCAATTGTGCAATTCTTATCAATAATTCTATGGAAATTATGCAGTCCAATACAAATTTATAATTAAATTGATACCATTACTAATAAAGCACTCACTGCATGAYTACTAAGTACATAAATTTAAGACTACACAACATTATCTAATATTTGTATGTAATTGATATATTCAAAAAGACCCCTCTCATGTGATTCTCTTGTTTCCTTTTCACTGGGAATGTTTTTTACGTGGCGGGTCCCAAACCCAGCGCACCATCCTGGGGCTGTCTCTTATACACATCTAGATGTGTATAAGAGACAGAGCCTGGGGAGGGATGATTCGCCTTCTCGCTATAAACGGATGTTCTTTGGTTACCCAGAGGATACTTGGTCTAGGTCCAGAAGTCGTGAGCTAGCTTATATGTAAAAGAATCGTTTCTGGTCACTCCCAGTGAATGACGCTTAGAGAACTTTTCTCACTTGCGTGACCTTCTACACATGACTCCATCTTCTAGCTCATGTTATGTCGTCCGAATGGACGAAAACACTCCAGATCTGAAAGTATTCGAAGCAGTACCCGCCAGGGGAAGCAGAGGAAGAGCAAGACCTTCACTCCGTTGCAAAGACTAGGTGGAGAGGAACTCTACAATAGCTATACTCTCAAATCTCAATTTTTACTATTTTTTTAATTCGAAACGGTCAAAAAAGGAGTAAAATTTTGTTTGTTTTTTTTTCAGTTAGAAAGAAATTTCGGGAATTTTTTTTCCATTTCCGTAATTCCGAATATTACGTTATTATTCTAGATTAATAATTTTTTTCGGTATGAGATTTCCAGGCGGGTCACGTGCCAATTTTTTTAAGAGGTATGCATCAAAACCAGAATACCCCTTAAGTCAAGTGTACCTATGCCTCTGATATCTACAATTGAGGACTTTTATGGCAGACAAATGCTGCATATGAACTTTATAACAGCCTTCTACACCTTTAGCAATTGAAACGCATTACTTCACGTAACAGATTATATCCAATACAAGTTGAAGCCCAATATATTATTTGTTTATATCTTAACTGTAATTCTTTATAATTTGTTGAGTTCATAACTCATGATAAAATCAAAGGTATTGACAAAGAGCAGAAGATTAGTTTTAAGGCGTAATAGCAAAAAACCCAAATGCAAGCTGCTTCTGATAGTTTAGTTAGAAAGTAATAGAAAATAATGGACACAATACCATTACTCATTGCAACAATTTCAATTTATTTGCACATAAATGACACATTAAAAAAAGAAAATTAAAGCGCAATCCACACCGCTAAAAAGTGAGTATGTATGCAAAGCACATGTGTGTCTGTTCTTTTAAAATTCATTCTGCTAAATCGGATTATTTCRATAATCGAAGAAATCACTCATTTATTCGAACCGCTGTTATGGGACCACTTTAGCATAAAGYTGTCATACAAACCGAACTATCAAATTAAGCTACTATTTGGAAAACTTTTYCATTTGATGAGAATTTGATATGTGATATTGTCTACGGTATAATCTTCAAAGAAATTATTTAGATCGAATCATTATAGCAATAAGTTGTCATACAAACTGAACTATCGAAATATGCATGAAAAACTTTTTTATTTTACGAGTTAGCTTCTCGAAATTTCGCACAGATTATTGTCTACGACATAGATACAATCTGCGAACAAAGTGATTAGATCGGTTCACTATAGCATATATGTAGCTGCCATGTACACTGACCGATCAAAACCAGGTTTTTATATGGAATCTTTTGTATTTGTGAAAAGTTTTTTGGTGCAACCGGAGTAAAAAAAGAGAAAAAAAGAAAAGTATCTTTTTTATTTTATACTTTTTCATGTTTTTTTATTTTTATTATATTTCACAACATTTAGTTCGTTATACATATTTGATAAAATTCATCTTTTCAATCCATTTAAGTGCTTTGTTCTTATATTTCAAATATATGTAAATATAATATATGCATAAATAACACATACTCCACACAGTAAGCACATACATACATACAAATTTACATATATTTGCTGTTTTTTATTTTTCAATTCGCAACAGAAAATAAGTGATAACTTGCATATACCACGTTTGCGAATTTGTAAAAACAATTATACGATARCAATTAACATGGGCGTGCTAGTACATTTTAAACAACAACAACAGCAATGTCAAGTGAACGGGAGAATAAAATAAGTACTTCAAACTAAAATGTTGTTACTTACACTTAGTTTTTACACCTCGCAACAAAGTTGCTAAAGAGAGTATTATAGTTTTGTTCACGTAACGGTTGTTTTTAAGTAATAAAACTAAAAGAGTTAGATATAGGGTTATATATACCAAAGTGATCAGGGTGACGAGTAGAGTTGAAATCCGGATGTCTGTCTGTCCATCTGTCCGTCCGTCCGTGCAAGCTGAAACTTCAGTAAAAATTGAGATATCATGATGAAACTTGGTACACGTATTTCTTGGCATCATAAGAAGGTTAAGCTCGAAGATGGGCAAAATCGGCCCATATTATATTAAAGTGAAATTTGGCACAAAGGATCGCATTAGGGAGTGGCATATTTGGAAGAGTGGGCGTGGCCCCGCCCCCTACTAAGTTTTTTGTACATATCTCGGAAACTACTATAGTTATGTAAACCAAACTCTATACAGTCGTTTCCTTCAGGCATTTCCATATACAGTTTAAAAACGGAAGAAATCGGTTAATAACCACGCCYACCTCATACAAAGGTTATGTTGAAAATCACTAAAAGTGCGTTAACCGACTAACAAARAACGTCAGAAACACTAAATTTTACAGAAAAATTCCAGAAGGAAGCTGCATACAGGCTTTTTTTAAAACTTGAAAATGGGCGTGGCGTCGCCCACTTATGGACCAAAAACCATATCTCAGGAAGTACTCGACCGATTTCAATGAAATTCGGTACATAATATTTTCTTAACACCCTGAAGACATGTACGATGGGTGAAATCGGCTCACAACCACGCCTTCTTCCAATATAACGCTATTTTGAATTCTATATGATGCCTTCTCTGTATAATATATCCACTAGGAACCAATGATGATAGCGGAATAAAACTTTACACAAATACGGTATTTGATGCGAGAGTATAAAATGTTCGGTGACACCCGAACTTAGCCCTTCCTTACTTGTTATTATTAGTTAAGGAACACACATATTTTTGAAAACTGTACTTTCTTACTTATCGCTTATGCCAATTTCTTACTACTTTTCTTTCCATCGACGTAAATACGTAAATAAATAAAGGTAAACCAATTAAAGTTTTACAAACTAGCAATGGATCACCTAGGAGCGCCCATCGTGGTATAAGGTCAGAGACATCAATTTTAAGGTAAAACGAGGTCTTTTACAGTACCGAAGCATAATATCCGTCACATGCAAATTTCTTATGGCATAAAACGGTATAAAAAATCTTTATCTTAATTTTGATGGACCAGTTTGTATGATAGCTATATGCTATAGTGATCCGATAATGGCGCCGGCGGCAAATGAGTAGCTTCTTGATTAAAAAATAACGTGTGCAAAATTTTAGTTCAATATCTCAATAACTTAGCGATTAGTTCGCATATACATAGAGGCACGGCGTTTTTGGTCAAAGCTTTTAAGAAGCTACATTTGATAACTTTACTAATCCCATCAAAATTACATCGTACAAATTTACGTATATATGTACCTTAGTACAACAATAGCAATATCTACTGCTACTAAAGTAATCCACAACTATATAAAGACTAAAGCAGCTAAGTAATTTACCCATTAAAAGGTAATTATTCAAATTGTAACTTTTCGTTATGTAAAGTTTATGAGACTCGCAGACTAAATTAAGAATTTCTAAAATTACTTGTATGTAAATTTGCTGTTGYGACTTACCAGATTTATTTTTAACTACGTAAGTAAGTAGACATTGTATATGCTGCAACTGCTGAGATTGAGACGATGACTGTTTTGTTATTATTRTTTTTTAATTTCGTCTTGTATTTTTTGTTATACGCTCAAACAAAATTTGCTTTGGTTATGCGCCAAATGTAAACAATATACTTGGCCACTTTTATATGCATACACTTGCTTGTACTCGTATATATGTGTGTATGTATATACAGCAATGAACTTTTCAGTTATTAAGCTTTGCTTTAATTCACTTACTTATGACGTCTTGTAAATAACATTTTATTATTATTACTTGTTGTTGTTATCAGCGCTGGTAATGCTTATGAAATATTTGCATACAGGTATTTGTATTTTAAGTCAGTTATAAAAAAAGTTTAATTAAACAAATTTTAATAAAATAGCGTATTTGCTTGGCTGCTATTGAACGCTGCATAACAAAGCCCTCATTGTACACGCGCACATTACAAATTAATTATACGACCAATAAACCAAATATGCATATGAGTAACAACCGGCTGCCACACCGATATTAATGCGAAACAAAAATTTGTTGTTTATAAACAATAAACGAAAAGTAGCCCTTAAACGGCAGCACCGCTCAGGTGTTTTGCAGCGTTGCCTTAGACAACCGAGCGACCAAACCGACCGACGGCCTTCAGTGTAGTGATCATTGCACAAAAAGGTGAAAAGGCAAAGAATTTTAGATTTTATTTAATTTGAAATTTTTTTATTTAATTTTTTTATAGAAAATTAAATTCACAAATAATAAATATACAGAACCTGCAGCATGTTACATCCTTTTGCCCGGCCACATGTTTGCAGCCGCTACGTCAAGGCAGCATTTACAGTTAATGACTTGAAGGCGCACACAATGYCAACACACAGTATAAATAAACAAAAGAAGAGCAAGAAATTTCACACAAAGCAAACCACAAGATTACCTACTCAATTCGCACAAATCAATCACTTTTTCAGACTATTCACTGCAATTTGGCAAGCATAATTTATGGCGTCTAGGCATAAAATATGTTTTCCAAACTATTTTTTCACGCAACCAACACATTTATGTATATTTTAATTTTAGGTAAACACACAACAATTATCCTAAATAATTTGTACCAAAATTCCAACGCACAACATTTTATGTCAACACCAGCGAGAGCTCCTTTCATGCGCGCTGCGAAAGGATAACTGATATTAACGTTTTAGTACACCGCACATTTACTCACGCGCTGTAAAGCGGTCGGTTTATTTCGTAAAAAATAAAAAAACAAAAAGCAAAGAGCCTAGTACCTACCAATGAGCGGCGTAGCCTATGCCGTTACACCGCACAATTCACGCACAATCATACAAACATATGCGCTTATAATTTATGTGTCGTTTAAAAACACGATAATAGCCACAAGTCAAAGTGATAATAAATATATATGCTGCCGGAACAGCGTCATAAAAAGTATTTTGCCGATAAAAATGTGCAATCTATATTTTGACCGCAAACCCATTAGGCGCKACTACGTTTTATTTCACTGGATATCTTATTAAGACTGAAGTGGAACATGTGAAAACAAATTGATAATAAAAGCTAACAGCGGCGACCAATGCAAAGGCAAAATGCGATTTACAWATTAACAGCGGTGGTTTGGCGAAATAGCAGAGATATGGAACGGAAGCAGCTGTAAACAGCAGAGCCGAGTACGAAAATGCGACAGCACAGCTAACCGTTTATAAAAGTTAAATGTTTGTAAGTTTGCACATATGCATATAGAAACACAAACATGTTTATATATATATGAAAACATGTACGTAGATAGATATTTTCAATACAAGTGTGTATACTTGTATTGAAAATACCTTTTGTAAATGATGGTCAGCGGAGAGCACAAACATTTGAGTGTTGATTAACACTCTGCTCGCTATGGCAATGCTGTTAAGTAAACTGTGTACTTTGTACAGCAACCTGTTATTAGCAGCCAGTTTGAACAGCTGCTTAATATTTAACTTTAGGAAATAAAAAAAATACAAATACGTGCCCACAAAAAAGGAATATAACTCGATTTTGAAGAATTTTGACGTTTACACATAAAAGGAACTAGTACCTTTAGTTTTTAATATATTGATCTGAAATTTTGCACTCATCCTATTCTCTTCCTGAAGCTTCCCATTTGTCGGAATTATCGTTATCAGAAAACTATAACGTAAAGCTGTCATACAAATTGACTAAACCAAATCAGGTTCTTGTATGGAAACATTTTTTTATTTGAGAATATATCATTGTGTATTGATTATTTTCCAGCGCACAGCTACCATCTTGAAACTTGCTACTAGCCTTGCATAATGTAAATGACGGTTTACGATTCACTAGTGCCTACGTAATTATGCCAGTAGAAATACACAAAAGCATATTACGCAAGAAATCAATGAACTTAAGTTCCTACAAATAAAAACTTCAGCCAAAAATTTTAACTCGACTCTCCTCTGTTGATGGATAATTATTTTTAAGTTTCTGATATTTTATTGGAACCTTTTGCTTCTGATCACAAGGACAGTTTACCACGCATACACATATTTTCCTTACAATTCAATCCTTAAACTCTGAAGTTTACAAACCCTTCATACTAGAGRGGATCGATTTTTCTTTGCTGTAAAATCGCGTACGCAGGAAACGTTCAACGAATCATTACGAACCACTTTGTCCAAGAAACTATGCGTCTAAAACCGATTTTGGACCAGCGAATTTTAATGCGATGCTTAACAAATCCGTATAATCGGTTGTATGGGAAATATGTGAAATAGTTGTCCGATCTGACCGATTCCATTAAATGATTAATGAATATAAAATAGGCAGTAAGTGCACTACGTCTTAAATTTCATATCTCAAAATTTTTATGATCCCTAAAAAACTTCGCCTCAAAAATGACCGGCTTGAAAACAATTTTAGACCCAAAGTCTCTTAGGCAAATTGGTTCAGAATAATCCGTAAAACATTTCTCGCATACGCGAATTTTCCGTTTCTTTGCCTCTTTGTAAATCAACCCGCTCTAATGCTTACAAACACATGATCATCATAGTTTTGGTTAAACAAAAAATAATAAAATTTTCACTATTTCTAATTATTTAACCGTACCTCAAATTTACGTGATGAAGTAATTAAAAACTATGATAACAAAGAACATGAAGCACTCTAATCAACTTATTGTGTACAAAAAACACATGCTTTATATTACTATTTTACATAAAATGTTTATTTRTTCATGGCTTATAAAGCAATCACTTTTTAGCAAACACATACATCAGCTAATTATTAAGGTAAATATAAAATGTTGTAAAAAATTGTCAATTGTCGAGTACAATTTGACTGCTTCAATTCATTGTGATTGTTTGGTTAAATGCAGCTTCACTTGTTAGTTAGTATTGTAAAATATAGTAAATTCATTGGTAATGACGAGTATTCAGCAAATTATGCACGATATGCATGCAACTAGATTTTCACATTTKTTGGGGGAAAATATGCATTTGCATATGTATTGGTGTGTATATAAGTAATGTATTGTATATTATTATTAGTATTCGACTCTGCGGTAATATAGAATTATGTAGACTCTTACGATTCGATACGATAACTGAGAAAGATTTTCGAGATGCGACAAACTGTGCCCATTTACATAAATGTAYTCATAACGAAAGCAACTACAAAACAACTAAAGGTAATCTTTGGACAGGCCAATGGCAGTTTCTGCTTAAATTCTAAGCGACTGTGGCGTTATRGCGTGCTCCGCCGCTGATTTAGACMGCAAAATGCCACRTTTATGGATCAACAAACGAAATCATTATGTAGCGCGTGCCATTTGTCACCGGTAAGCCTTCGTGGTAGTGCGTCAAACGACCTGGATGCATAAACATCCAACCTTTGCGCGTCTTATCCACCTGACAGTTGTAGCGTAGGAAACGACAGCCACCGCCCTCGTAATCCACATCCACGCTATTCAACGCGATATTAATAGTGTATGTGGAGGAGTCGTGGTGTGGACGCAGTGAGGGTTGCTCATCTGGGCGATAGCGCACAACGAAGTTCATTAGCGAACGTGGMGGCTATAAATAAAAAAAATATGTTTAAAAATATTTGATAAGCTTAAATGCACAACTGGCGCACTCACATTATGATAGTAGCCCATGAAAACTTTTTCCTGCAGCGGACGAACAATGTAATCCAGGAACTTCAGCCACACACCATCCAATCCCACCTGTTTCATGTGTATGTCACGTGTGGGCACCGCTTCGTAGCCACCCTCTAAACGCGCATCTTTATTGCTGCCATCCGACCATTTGCCGAAGTTTTCCATAATCGCAACCATATCATCGCAAAAAGCGTCGGTACCGACTTGAAACCAGAAAACATCGGGACAGGGTTGCTCAATGGTTGTATTTGGTTCCAAATGTTTAAAATAATTTGGATGTATGTACTTTCTAACCCAATCGTATTTATTACTGAATATCGTGTAAAAGTCAGGACGCGCGACCGTTGTGTCGAAGTTATCGGTGTTTACCAAATGGCCAAAGATATGCTGATTGGTGACGTACATGAAGACACCCTGTAGGAAATAAGAAGCATATAGTTTGATATGAGTTAAAAACTGTTTAAGAAAATATTTTTTAGGAGTATTTATGACAGTTAAGTAATATTTYATTATAGTACTCTCAAGAGGGTACATTAAATTTACCAGTCCTTGTATGAAAACCTTTTTTATTTGAAAGTCAGCGCTACAATATGTGAAGAAATTTTTCAGATCGGATTAYTATAGCATATAGCTGTCATRCAAGCTGAACGTTCAAAATTAAGTTATTGTATGGAAACTTCGTTATTTGTGAAGAGTATTATAGCTTCGGTGCAGATGAAGTTAGGATTTTTGCTTGTTTTCATTTAAATCTCGCCCTAAAAGCCCAAAATCTTACAATTCTCTTAAAAACAAAAACTTCAATTGTTAATTATAGKGGCTTTTTCAATAGGGACACYACAAAAGTAGACCGGGACAGCAAACGACTATTCTATTTCCTGTGTGCTTACGTCAAGTCTATCGTCTATGCTAATAAGCCAACGACGAAAGATGAGCTTCGTACGAATATCGAACGTGAAATTATTATTACTTTTTGGCGCTTTTCAGTACAGTTACCCGGAAAACAGACATTTTAAGTACTCAAACGCACGTAAGTAAACCAATGTTCATATATACCATACATATACATATATAATATTATGATTTTACTTACAGCTCTGCGTAGTGACTCGCACATTGCCATATCGGGGTCATAATCGCGATGCTGATATGAGATATGTTTGAATGCGCTACTCTTGATCAGATAAACACTGGACACATAAGGGACATTCCACATGCCGCTGAAATCAAAATGAAAAAGAAGACATTAATATACAAAAAAACAGTGCATAAGGATAAAGAGAACATAAGGATAAAGAAATATCGTATGAGGTATAAAGCAGATRATACAATAATGAGAGCTGATGCAAATTGGTGTAAATATAAATCTATAAATAACACTATACAAAACAACTGATCTCGGGGACAATTGAAGGCTTTGAAACCTCCAAGACATTTGCAGTTACATATGTACATATACGGAGCAGCACGAGCTGGCGCGAAATACAATGTAAGTTGGACATTAGTACAAATGCAGACAATGGATTGAAATTAAGAAAAAAATATTCGCAAAAGTGCAACAAAGTAAACAAATTCATAAAGCTACCAATCCCACATAGTTCCAACCAGCGAAATCGTCATCACAAACATCACAATATATATACATAAGTTGCGCCTTTGAGGGGCTGATTTGCGAAAAATAGGAATTTTTTTGGTCCTCGTCAATTTGCTAATTTAGTGTACGAGAATAAAGCCACTAAAGCGGTTATTCGCCACTATCTCAATTGAAATTRTGGGCCGAGCACAGCAACGTGTGTAGGTGTATGCCGCGTTAATGAGTTTGTGGCATTTTAGAGAGGCTACTGGTGACGMGTGTAATCACAATGTTGGCGATGGCTACGACAACGTAGTTGATGGCGCACAGTTTGATTGCGGCTTTCGCGTGGTCAGTAGTTGCAGAAACATGCCTTTGAGCTAACACAGCAAGCAGTGAAGTGAAAGACAAATTAGGCAAATACTGTTTTAAGGTGTAAAAGAAGTGGACAAGACAAATAAAATAAAATTTAAGAATAATAAAAAAGCACTTTGTGAATAAAAATATCTAAAGAGCAGACAAAAAGCAATTATTTTTGATTTTCATACGTTCTTAAGCATAATTTATTTTTGGAATTTCGCTGCTGTTTTTGCTAGTGCAAATGAAAAATTAGTATAAAAAAAAATTAATTTAATTCAAAGATAATATTATTTCACACTATTACTTAACTACACTCAAATACAAATAAAATATAATACTAATAAATAATAAATAAAATGCGCATTGCATTCGGCAATAGTTTTGGTTACATTTCTTTGCTGCTGATAAATTGTTTGTTGCTCTCCAGCAGCGCGGCGCAGCGTAAGTGAAATATTATAAAATAAATATTAAATTGACATAATTTGTGAAAAACAATAAAAAATCTCAAAAACTGAATATGGTTGTTAAAATTGTAGTAAAATGCGTATTTGAAAAAGTTACTATTATTTGTAATATTGAAAGTTACACAAAGAATCTGGTGAAAAAATTGTAAAAGCTTGATTTTTTWAATTTAATTGCAAAAAAATTTAATTAGCAAGTTC